TGTCTAATTTTATAAATTTTTTTTTTGCAATCCCTCGTCGCGCGCGGACGCCTTATCGAGATCCAAGTAGGCGAAACGCAACATCCGCCTTTATTCGCGGAACGCATTCATTATCGTCGGTCTCGACCGACGGTGAGAGACCGGTGAGATTCGGGCAGAAATTTCGCGGAGCCTTCTTCTCAAGACGAATGGCATCCCGTCGTTCCAGAAGCGAGAGCTCTAACCGTGGGCTTCAGCCGTGGTTATTGGCCGATCGCGAACGCGCCGCGCCGCGCCGCGCCGGCGTTAATGCGGCTTTGGGCGTCTCGCGGCCCCCCTCGCGATCCCCCCGCGGTCTCTTCCGCCTCTTCTCTCTCCACCCCGGGGTCCCTAAGTTTTTTTCCTCTCTTTTACATGCGCCTCGCGCGGCCTTCGAAAGATCTCTCCTTCGCCGAAGGAGCGCGAGCAAAGGGGAGACAGCGCGAGCGCGCGGGGGTGGGGGGAAGGGGAAAAGGGGGGACAAGAGGGAGAGGAAGAGGCGGACGGGAGGGTCCGGAGAGGGCCGCGGAGAGAAGAGGGTGTAGACGGGAAAGAAAAAGATAAAGGAGAAAAAGATGCGAGAGAAGGCTCTCTCGCGGGCTTCTGGCCTGAACTCGGTGAGTGAGGTAAAAATCGCGAGAGAGAGAGAGAGAGAGAGAGAGCCGTCAATTAGGAGCGCCCGCGGTTCTCCGGAGCGGTTCCTTCCTCTGCGCGAACAAAGAACGACTTTGTCGCCCGTTCTGACGTTCCTCCGGTCTTTCCCCGACAGACGGAGATATCGACGAGATATCGCGGCGAATGTTGGAATTCGGCCCGCTCATCGCTTCGGTGTGTCGTTTGTTCGTGATAATTGTAGCGTCAGACTTTCGTCAGAAATACGTTTAGCTGTCTCGGATTCAACATCGTTCGAATTATCGTTTCGCCAAACAGTATAGAGATTAATTTGGGAAAGATGGTATTTAAAGGGGGACAAAAACAATTAAACGTAATTATGCAGAAAAAGAAAGAAAAAGAGGAGAAGAATCAACTGTCTATATCACGATGTGATAAGATATATAAGATATATTCTACATTTTACACATTATTTTTAACGATTACACTTTTGACCAACATAAGATTGATTTTCTTTTCTCGGGATAATTAAATTCTAAGAGTTTTAGTAATTGTTACACATATATATGACAGATATGTGTAGATAATTAGCAAAGAAGAAAAAGACAGTTTAACGTAAAAAAGAAAAAAATAACTCGCCGATTTATAAAATTTCACAATCTCACGTCGCGATGGAAAAGCGATCGTATGTAAAACACACCTTAACGCCCCTCCTGATATTCTTTCTCTCGAACAAGTGCCTGTGCCGCGGGTAACCCGATAATTTATAGCAGCGCAAGAGAGAACGAGTAGAGAGAGAGAGAGAGAAGAGAAAGAGATGGAGAAGAGTGCCGCAGCGTGTAAAAGTCCCTCCGTTTACGCAGATACGCGCACTTTATGTATACATATTCGCACATGCGTGCGCTCGTCCTCTCTCGCTCTCTCGCGGCTCCTACTCCCCAGCGCTCAAATTTCCCGCGTGAATGCGTGCGTGCGTGCGTGCGTGCGTGCGTGCGTACGTGCGTGCGTACCATAAAATGTTAGATCTCGGGGTCGAGATCCCTCCCCTGATGCGCAACTTCTTCTCTTCTCTCGGTCGCATTTATATAGGCCACGCGGTATACGAGATATCCGCGCCGACTATCGATTCGCCGCGCTCGCGCTATGTCATATCGCTCCGACGACGCGAAGCGAGAAATCGAGGGACGACGAGGACGACGACGACGACGACGACGACGACGACAACGGCGACAGCGACGGCGACGGCGACGGCGGAGAATCGCGAGGAATGCGACGCGACGGATGAAAGCGGTATAGCAGTAGACAAGAAGCAGACTATCTCTCTCGTCGCGGTTTCTCTTTCCGCTTCTCTCTTTCTCTCTCTCTTCCCTTTCCGCTCGCCGTCCCTCGGCTCCTCGCGGCCCGAACGGCTCGTAAGTCGTCCGAGATTACGAGCTCGCTTTTAAGGCCGCCCGCTGCGAATCCGAAAGAGGTCAGATTGGCGAGCGAGCGACCGAGCGCGCTTCGAGATAAACCGGAGGAAGTCGCCGCGGCGCGATTCGAGCCGCGGACCACGAACGCGCGGAACGTCACGGGAAGCAAATTTATCGCTCGGCCAAGTATGACGCGCGCTCGTCAATCGGCCGAGAGATATCATCTCGATGAACACGTAAGAAAGAGAGAGAGAGAGAGAGAGAGAGAGAGAGGAGGAGATACGAGTTCCCTATTAAGGGAACTCAGTCTATTCTAGCAGTATGAAAAATTTCTGATTTCGAGCGACCTTTATGAAGAATATTAGAAATAAACCTTTTTAGCGTACATATGTTTTTATCGATGTTTAAACAGTACGTCAGTGTTTTTAAATCTTGGATATTTAGCTCTTTTAGGGCCCTAGAATGAAGATTTTCTTCTGCCAGAATTTCTCGACGTTATTTTCGCCTTTTCCTTATCGTACTGCAATTGATTACGCGATGCTATTAGTATTCTCGGGGCGCGTGCATCCGCGTGCTTGTTACGTATTACGCCAAGTCGTTATAACGAGTATCCGTAAGATTTGTCGGGAGCGCGGCGGTTTTCCAACTTTTAATTCAATTCCGTTACTGCGGGGAGCCCTTTCTCCCCTCGACGTCGCTTCTTCTCCGCCGTATCTAAACCAACGACGTCTCGTCCGTACCTACCTAGTAAAGCGACTACCGGCGCAACCACAGACGAGAAAATCGCGGCGATTACACACCATGACCATTACCATTATGCCATCCGCGAAAGCTATTTATTAAAGCGACGCGAGGAGTCAGACGTCCGGGGCTGGATAAAAGCGCATTTTACGCGCGTCAGCGAATACGCCTGAAATTCTGGAAATTGTGCTCTCTAACTACGCTGCTGCTTTGTAGCGCCGAATCTCTTTGGTATCTCTCTCTAGGTGTACCAATTATCGATTAAGGCTGTATACGGGGTGTCTGGTAATTGATAGTAACAACCATGGATGGACATGATGCTGTATGTTAAAATAAATGACGAATGTAAAATCAATTTTTTTTTTCACACACGAGGCTTTATTTCCAAGAGAAAATCAATTAATCTTATTATAATTCAATCGCTGGACCGTGTATCATTATAATACAATTTCTCGCTAGGTGTTTATATTTATGATTTATGATTTGGAAAAAGATGGCACACAAGCGGAAGATAACATACAACATATGTTTTTTTAATACTATTAATTTCAGTAGAATGAAATCTAGTTACTGAGTTGAACTGAGATTCATGAATATGTATTGAAATTAATCCCATCCCTAGCCATGATTTATAATTTGCAACCGAAGAATGAGAGCCATGAAAATCGGCAACTTTAAATGTAAAAGAAAAGTATCAGACACAAAAGATTAAGTTTTTGACAAATAAGAAAAACTAGAGAAAGATAAAGCAAATGGAAGTAAAAACAAATGTTACATCTACTCGGATAAATAGATAATGTATAGGATCAGTATTATAAAGAGATGTATAAAAGAAAGAGGATGATGGTTTTTCGCCTTTTCTACGATTGTTTGAAACCGAATGTTGTTGGCGTTTAAGAAAGAAAAAAAGTGAAAAGAATGAACTGACAATGAGACAATGAGACAATAAAGAATGCACCATTTTCAAAAACGAGAAGATTAATAGCATCGATTTTGGATGGCGTTAAATGTTAACTAGTTACCATATAGCATTCAGCGAAAGTAGCTATAATACAATTCTGTATCTTTTTTATTTATTAAAAAGAAATAAAATTTTGTATACAAATCAATAATAACTTTATCAGAGGACACGTATTACACGAAGAAATCCGCGAATGATCTCCGCGATAAGAGCTTTCATGTCTCGTTGTTCTCGGCGAGCAGATAACTGTGCGACGAATATCCACGGTACTAAAGAAATTAATCTTTGAAAGGGAGAGGGGCAACGGTGAGATTGAATTTGCTCAAGTATGTGTATCTTATACTGGATATAATCAATATTTTATATACAAATAGAGATATATAAATTAAACAATTCTCTTTCTCTCTCTCTCTTGATTCATAAGTATTTTTTTAAATTCTCATTGTGAATAATGTAAATTTTTGAACGATGTCATCTCCTACATATACCTTCTAATAATCTCTTTACCGTTTGATTATATAGAGTATCTAGTATCTTTTTCACCACTACGGAATCCTTTGCAATAATACAGTAAATAACTTTTTTCGCTAAATTCCTATAATTTTTTCATTTTGGCTATCGTGGATATCTAGTTATCTAATTTTGTTTAAAACAAAAGCCTTCAAAAAAATACGAATTTTTACATGGAAGAAATAAAATCAAGAAGAAAATAAGGAGAAATAACGACGCTTGAAAACTAAAACATGAGCGAACGAAACCGGGAACAATGCAGTCGAAAAACTATTTGACCGAAAGGTAAAAGTATTTATGCTCTTTTCTTTAGAAAACTATGGAAAAGCATAAGTCGCGTAAAAGGCCGTTTTTTTTTTCATCTCCTTGCACATTTCTTTTTCTAAATTCTTAAAATTGCCCAACATTTCCGCGGCGACTAAACTTGAAAATATGAATTATCTCTCAACGTTCTCGGATAACATGTATGCGACGTGTGCGCTGATTTCACATAAACATCGATTCTTAAAATTCAGTAATGTATAATATGAAAATGTAATGTATATACACATATATATATAATTTTATATAATTATTTTCTTTAGCAATTATTCAAACAGTAATATTTTTAGCTAAAGGAAAAGATCATTGTTGATGTTAAATTAAAGAAAAGATCAATCGTTAAAAGAGTACCACATTTTTCCAAGACATTATAGTGCATGTTTGTTATATCGCTTTTGTTTAACAAATTTATTTATATATTTCAGAGAAGCCAGTCAATGCTTTACACGTTAATGTGACGGTATCCGATGGTAAAAGCGAAGAAAAGAACAATATATCCAAAGCGTTCGAAAAAGCGGAGAGTTCTTTGTTTCGCGACTTTGCGAGACGAGCCCGCAGCTCATTTACCGGATCCGGGAACGGAAGTCTAATATTCTTTACCTGATCCGTTACATACCCGCGCATGGTCGGTTCATGGTTCTATTGGATCTATGTTAAACGACAAACGGTGCAAAAAATACGTGCCATGGATGGATGGAAGGATTTAGAGGATTATTGAGGCAATCTTTGAGCGTACTGACAATGAGAGAAAAATATGTACGAGTCAGGTATGCAGGTAATGGTAGCTGTAAGAAAGAGTTTATTCTTGTTGCGTTTACTTTATGTGTGTATACGTATACAGAGAGTGTCTCTCTCTCTCTTTCTCTCTCTCTCTTTGGCTAACCCGTATACTTCCAGCGATAGAATACCACGTAAATACGATGTTTGTAGAAATGCGGGCTCGGTCCCGAGATAACTTTCGCAACGATAAACAGTTTGTGAATTAAATGGTCCATAGCTATAGGAAATCGAGTATAAATATCGATCTGAGCATTTGCGCATCTAAAAAGGAGAAATTATACAATACCATAATTTATTATATTTCTTCCAATCTTGTTTTTATTTTGCTCTTATTTACTAATGCAACAATCGTAAAGAGATGAGCGCGCAAAATATTATGGGTCAAGGACACAGTCCGTATACTACACGCGGACATAAATACATGCGCGCACACAGAGAAAGAGAGACTGAGGGTGAGAGAGTTTCGACGTACTTTTCGCTATCTATAACAGAGCTCGTCGCGATAAAAACGATAAACCAACGGCAGCCTGGTGGATACGAAAGCGAAACTCACCGTCGGATAATAGTCGTTATTACCGGCGCTTTCGCATGCGATCTAATTAAAATTACTTTGCGACTTTCCTCGTGTATGTGAGACGAGGAGAGGAGGAGAGGAGGAGAGGAGGCACGAGTCTCGTGTCACGGAGAAGCGGGAGCACTAACTTGATAATTTGTGTTTTGGGCCGAGTGCCGATCGTTAAAGCATCTGGTCGGAACTGTTTCGACGATGAATGGAATTGAGCCCGAACAGACCGAATCTCAATGTGGCTAGCTATCGTTGTGCACTTGTTGCAGTGCGTTGCCACCCCGAGCAGAAAGATAGGATCGACCCGCTTCTATAACTCCGGCTGGCTTTCTGATATACGAGACTACATAGACGCGCACACGTACACTCACACAATACAACGCTCCGAGCATCCGTAATGGCTTTATCATAAGGGATGAAACGGGAGCCATTAAGTAACGCGAGATCTCCGATTGAGGGCGGCAAACAAAAGCCACGTACCGATTAATTTGATAATAACACCGTTACCTAATTGAGCAGAGCGATTTAATTGACATTCGCGTAATCGATCGCTGTGCGATCGTTGGAAATTCAAGCCTAGCTTTTTATTTGCGGTAATGCGCACTTTATTAATGTATTAAGTTATCTTTGTATATCTATCAGTGCTGAGAAATTTGTTGCGATAACATAATGTAAATACAAAAAAATCGCATCTTTTTTCAAAACTATTTACGCTTCAATGAATCCGCGTGACAATCAATTTATTTATCTCTTGTACTTTTCCCTTTGTAGAACAAATTGAAATTCCTACTTTATTTGTATGAGATGTATAATATTAAAGTCCACATGAGAGAGACGATACCTTTCTTACACAAAAAGAAAACTAAAAATATTTATTTGACAAGTTTATTTACGTAAATTTATTTAAGAGCAATTCAGAATCATATTTCTTATATTTTTGACTGATTCTAACAAGTTTTGCAAAGGATTATTATGTGTCAACTTAAATTAAAATAATAAATAAATAATGTTGTTCTTGTAATTTGTAAAAACCTGTTTATAAGACAGATGTTAGTTTCTCAGTCTTATTTTGTTATTTAGATTATTATTTTGGTTATAGATAGGTGGATTGATCCTTCTCTGCCTAACAGATACTTTCCTAGCAGAGTCCGGAATGTCTGTTTGACCGAGAAAGAGCGACGCGTCTGTTTCGCGCAGCAGGATACCAAGTTGAGCTGCGCAGTATATATATATATATATTTACACCAGGGTGGATTGTTTCAGGGAATTATACTCTAATTATGATATTTATCGTAAAAATTCAAATATATTTTATTGCGAACAGTAAATTCGATATTAGAAATATCACGTGGATTAACGTGTTTAATGCCTTTTTTAATGTTATTAAATGCCTTTTGTACATTTAAATTTTCGTGCGTGTAAATTCTGGATGTTGAATCGTAATACATGTCGAAAAATTTTAAACAAATTTCAACAAATATTTTAGAATAGACAGCAATAAAACTTTCCCATATAACTTTGTCCTTCAAAGCTGCTTTCTCTTCGCAAAAAAAAAGGATCTGTGCAAGAAAATGTCTCAAAATGGTCGTAAAACATTTGCTATCGAAAAAATTTGTTCCTTGAATTTTCTGGGTTTAGGTATACGTAGGTAAATATAGATTTCCCTTCGTTACTTTTTCAGTGTACTTTCTTAGCGCGCGGAGTCCGAATCTTACTGTCAGTATGCCGAGCTGAGCCGCGCAGTATATATTTACACCAGGGTGGATTGTCTCTCATCTCTCTCTCTCTCTCTCTCTCGCAAACCAACGGGCTCTCTCCCTCGCTTCTCTCCCTATATCTTCGGGCTCTCGGCCCTGATATCTAGTACATAGGATGATAGTCCCTCTCTGTCTTTCCGTCTCGCTTCGTTCTTGCTCCTTCACTCCTTCCTCCTTTCCTCTTCGTAGGGTGTGTAGGGTAGCGAAGAACACGCGGTAGGAGCGCGGCGCGAAGAGAACCCGCGGCGTAGAGAAAGAGAGAGAGGGGGAGAGAGAGAGAGAGAGAGAGCGAGCGAGCGACGGAGAAAAAGGGAGATCAGCACCGAAAATGGGAGAGAGACAGCAGACAGGAAAGCCGGTGGATAAGGGGCATCGGGGAGGCGCGAGGGGTTAGGAGACAGCTGCAGGCCATGCGAGGGTCCGCCGACCAGGCTTGGCCGTTTACCGCGGAATACACCGCGTACGCTGGGAGAATGTGGGGGAGAGAGAGAGAGAGAGAACGCGTAATATCAGGGACAGAGAGAGACAGAGGCGCGAGGAAACGCGACAGTGAGAGCGAGAAAGAGAGATAGAAGCAGAGGATAGAAACAGGGACGAAGAAAACACGGGGAAGCAAAGAGAGTGAGAGAGGAGGAAGATGAAACGACAGCGAGAGAGAGAGAGCGAGACGACCTACTTCGACGTGGTCCGCGACTCACTCGTCGCCCCTGCCGTGCTTGTCCCCCTGCAACCCCCTTCGGCGTTCCCTCGTCCGATCCTCGACGCGTATACCGTTGCGCCCTCACCCCCCCTCCGTCCGTCCCTCGCCGACCCTTGTTCCCCGCCGCCCCGCTGTCCCCTTTGCCGTCCGCCTCTTCACGACCCTCCAGGCTGTGACTACCTCCTCCTCCACTCGTTTCCCCATCCCTCTTACCTACCTACCCTACGATGCCTCCCGCCGCCACCCGACGACGGACCCGAACCCTTGGCGCCCCTTTGCTCTTAGCCGCGGATGCGAAAGCCGCGCGACGGTGTATATGGGGGGATGCGAAGGAGGCGAGCGAACCGAGAACCGAGAGCCGAGAGCCGAGAGCGAGGTTCTCTCCAACGAGCCACAGGCAAGTTGCCGTAACTTGCGCTCCGGTAAATTTCCACGGAGACCCTACTGCTTCTCTACTCGATATACCTGCTCTCTCCATCTCTCTCTCTCTTAGCTATCCACAGCCACACACAGATATGCCACCCTTGCGACACGGGCTACGGGCTTCGCCGGTGTATACCTGCTATATACGCGGCCGCGCTTTCTCTTAACGCGCTCTCGATTTTCTTCATCATCGCTCTCCTTCTTCCTCTTCTACCTTCTCCGTCTTTTGCGATATATACGATAGACCATCCGCTAGCGCATCGGGATTTCTTCCCGCGCTGCGATTACGCCAGCTACCGTTCGCTGCGAGTCGTGTCCGCTTACGTGTTCGGAGAGCCGGATGACGGGATACGTGCAACGATGTGTCAACGCGGAAGGGAAGGGTAGGAGGAGACTACATCGATTTTCTTTTTTATCGGCTGGAAATTTCGAAATCGCGCACCGAAGGGTTCCCGCTCGATTAAGGACGGTCGGCGAGAGGCCAAGAGGGACGGACGGGTTGATGGCTGGGTAATATAGAGAAGGGTGCAGGAGAGATATCGCGTCGGAGGGCCTACTACTAGCTCGATTAGGACGCGAATAACGGTGAGGGTGAGGGCGAGGGCGAGGGCGAGGACGAGGGCGAGGCACCCATCGGACGGCCGATAGGCTGATACACCATCGAGAGCGACGAAGGAACACGTCCACCCCCGCGACGTAGGGTTGATCGATCGCGCGACGCATCGGCTAGATTGATTCTGGCAAAAAATAATGAAACCTCTTTGCGCGCCAAGTACCGCGATACAACGCGACTTTAACCCTTTGATCGTCCGGGCCTAACGATTAACTGACAGTTTTATTCGATAGAACGTAATTGTCCTTCGATGTGTCGACCAATATTGTACGATATCTTCTGGATTCGATAAGAGTAAATATTTTGTTTTCTCAGTTAAATCATATATATATGAGGGGGTATATTCATTTAATCGTAGTCATATAATAAAACTTTTACTTACGTTTCATTTTCAAAAAATTAAGCTTGCCGTGTTATTTTATATATTTCAACATTAAATATATATTTTAAACCGAGATAAACTCGAATGACATTTTGTTCTATCGAACTCATTCCACACACACTCAACAACTTTTATCGTAATATAAAAAGTACAAAATTTTATTCCAATAAAGAATAAGTTATTTTATTGTATATATTTTCAGCAATTTAGATATTATTTTAAATATTACATTATATAAGAAAATATTATATTTCTCTTGAATCGTGTAATATTTAAAATAATATCTAAATTGCTGAAAATATATACAATAAAATAACTTATTCTTTATTGGAATAAAATTTTGTACTTTTTATATTACGATAAAAGTTGTTGAGTGTGTGTGGAATGAGTTCGATAGAACAAAATGTCATTCGAGTTTATCTCGGTTTAACAGTGAGATAAGAGGTTATTAATTTTTCAAGTTTTTAAATCAATTTTCTCAAAAAATAAATTTAAAGAAAAAAATGTTTCTATTCCACACACATTTCGAACCTATCTTTTTCATATATAGAATTATTATCTTCATTAGCTTACAAGTTACGTCTGCGTATATTAAATCAATGTACTTTCGTGTATTAGGAATTGAATCAATTAATTGAATCTCATATTAGTTCATATACACAATAGAACAACTTGCATGCATTCGAATGTATGCGGCACACGAACGAGTATACGTTGAAAAGCCTGCGCAAGGTGAGAAACACTGGGATATACATTCATGAGTCACTCCATTCACGAAATGTGAATTCTCGCTTTGCAAACTTTAGGGGTCAACGGGTCGAGAATGGTTAGCCACTTCTCTCTGGCTCTCTCGTCCGATATATCGAGTCTTATCCGATAGATACATCGTCTATGACTCTTTCCAAGTTACGTATATATATAGTCACAGTGCTCTTCTATACCAAGTATTAATCCCAATGTTATTCGAAGAAGTTGCGGGACAAGGGACGTAGAGGTACAAGTTTCACGGGATTTCCTATCAGCGTATACCAACAATGAGAGAGAAAGAGAGATATGATTCGTAGAAGGAGGAAGGATCGAGGTTTATCACGAGAGATCTTTCACGGTTGCAAGGACGGCGCAGGGCACGACAGTGGGGATAATCGCCGTTCAGAAGTCGGAGGGGTCGGCGGGGACGGGAGGGAAGGTCGGAGGGGGGGGGGGCAGGGCAGAGAAGTAAGAGTAGCAGGAGGTATCATTCACTTTGCGGGAGTCGCACTCCTCTGCCGCTCGTAATAATTTTCTTTTTTATGAATGAACTTAACTCTCTCTCCTCTCTTTCTCTCTCTCTCTCTCTCTCTCTCTCCCCCAGCATTTATCTCTATCTCTCTTCTTTCTTATGTTTCTTATTTAATCTTTCTCTTTCTCTCTCTCTTTCTTTCTTTCTTTCTCATTCGTCATCCCGTTTTCACACAGAAGGCTGAGTTTATCGAGTTAAACGTGACATTGACATTCATTGAAGCTAGAGATTCAAGTCAACGATAGCCAGTAATAACTAATATGTGTATTTTTAGAAAAAAATTAAACGATACACACGTTCGATTGATGTACAATAAATGGATCAATGTGTTACATGGGCATACAATTTTATATTAAACTCGTTTATAAACTTGTGTAGATGGAAATTGTAAAGTGGAGAGAAAGAGATAGAAAAAGATACATAATATCTTGCAGAGTCGAAATTTTTTTATTACTTTTGCTGTCAATTTTCAATCTAATATCCACTTTGATATTTTAAGATTTAAGCAATCAAATCACTCACTTAATTTGTAGTTTTGCCGAAAATTTTTCTTCAAAAATATTAGAGTGAGAAAATATTCGTTTATTATATCTATTTGAGATACAAAGTAGAAAATCAATCAATTCTTATATAAATGAAATCTAAATTGAAATTCTTTAGAAGTCAAAAATGTGAAAAAATTGAAGCTGAAAGTAGGAGAAATATTTCGATTCGGGTTCTCAAACATGAAAATAAAAATTTCTTTCGCACGATTATCGGAACATTATTATCAAATCCGAAATACGCGCGTACGCGCCTACTTTATCTTCACTTTAACAAAGAAATTTGGTAAAAATGTTCTAATTTACGTGAATAGCAACATTGCCAGGCGATTATTCACTTAATCGCAAACACTTTACCCAACTAATGACTGAATGTCGCTAGCACAACTAATGACTAACGCGATGATTAGAACGATTCGGCAAATAGTTTGAATACAAAGCAAATATCGGCGACGGCGAGACGCCGGGGCGAGAGAATCAGAGAGCTGTTTATCGATATTATCGTACGGCGAGCGGCAGCGTATACCGCCGCCTTGAAGGAACGATAGCGAGCGACCGTTAACTGAAGCCGCGGCGCGACGCGGCCGCACACATGTCGCGCAAATAGCCCGCGCGGCTGTATACGTACGTCATGTGTATGTGTGTGTATGTGTGTATCACGCACGCACGTACGCATACATAATTTCACGCGCTCTCGCACATATGCGCGTTGCGACCGCGTGTGTATATCCTTCCGCGAAAGGCAGGAGGACCGGACGCGACGGACGCGACCGACTCGACACCGTTCGTTCGGCTTCGCTCTCGCCGAAGGAAGCAGGTGAAAATTAATTGTACAGGTTTATCGACTCGCGGAGTTGAGGAGTCGAATAGAGCAAACGCGGGTCCGCGTCTCGTTTACTCGCGACGGCGTGCGCGTCTTCGCGACGCGTTCTACAACAGGACGCTATCGATCGATTTTCCTCTCGGCGTCGTCGTCGCCTTGTCGCTCCCTCGTTCCTCCCCCTTCCTCCCCCGCCCCTCTTTTCGTTCGTCGACTCTCTCTCTCTCTCTCTCTCTCTCTCTCTCTCTCCGCGTAACGCTTCCTCGCGAGGCGCGTATAGCGCGTGCGAGACTCGATTCGTTAAACGTAGATCGAATACGCGCGCGCGCCTTATCCGCGAAATCGTATTTTTGTTGTCGCCGCGCTCTTAGCAACGCCATATAACCGTCGCGCGCGCGTAATAATTCGCGCTGGGGTCAGCTGCTCTTCGCGATACACGGGCGTTCGCGATACGAATAACGCGTTCGTGTGCGTGTGTGACGGTCGTCGAAAAGAAAATTATTTCTTCCGCTCGCGAATCAATCCCGCGATATGCGCCGTGTCGCGCACGTTTCAAAGCAATTTCTTTTATCCAAGTATTAATCGTATCCACAATTTCACGCTTTCAATGTAATTTGTCTCTCGGCTAATTATAATCTCTAGTGTTTTATATCGAATTTATTCGATCGAAAGATCGAATTTCAAATGTATCCGCGAAGCTCTCTCAGCTTCTACGTACATCTTATTCGTGACACACACTAAATACGCGGGAATTTGTTTCGTTCTAGTATAGATATAAATTTTTAAATATATATGATATACATTTAAATACACATACACACACACACACATGTATATAATTTTAGTTATTCAAAGAAAGATATTTTTGTCTAGTACGTCATAAACACTATCTTAATAATAATAAAGAAATAATATTTCAAGAATATTTAAAATATATATATATATAAATATACATGCTCATTCTCGTTCTTATCATCATCACGATTTCCATTTACGATTCTAGCAAAGTGCAAGTCCGAAAACCCTAAATGTGTGCGATCAGCGATAATCATCAGAGTAGGGCGCGTCTCTCTTTTTTTTCTCTCTCTCTCTCTCTCTCTCTCTCTCTCTCTCTCCATTCTGAGGCGCGCGATGAAAAACGAGCCAGCATACGTGATGAAATGCGGCTGGTCCTTGCGCATGTATCGCCGTCGAAACTGCGGTATCGGTGCGTACAGGTACAACACTGGAATCGCGTACGGCGTACGGTATTCATCCGCGACGGTAAATATCGCAATGCCGCGGCGATATACTCGCGGTAAATTTACTCTCGAATTATCGCGAGAGCGAGCTCCTTTCCGCACCGCGTCGCGCTCGTTGTAAACACCGCGTCGAATGCTCGTACGGATTTTAGGCCGCGCACTCGTAAATCCTGCTCACCCTCGGGGATTGCTGGCAGAGGTGGCGAGGAGGGATTTAAGGGTTTTGCTGCATCCAACATCCTCTACTCTTTTCTCTCTCTCTCTCTCTCTCTCACTCTCACTCACTCTTTCTTACTTCTATATCTCACACAAAAGACCGACAAACCTCGGTAAATATTGTAAATATTACGGGAAATTTTCTTATCTGAAACGTAAAGTTTCGTCCACGCTAGACTTGCTCTTTTTATATACGATACTTTATACGCGGTATTTTTTTTTTACACACGATACGATTGTGTAACTCGCGTGGTAAAATTTTCAATATTATTAACGCGACACTATTAGAAGCACGAATGCGGACAAAGGAGTAGCAATGCGCTAAAGTAAAGCTCTTTTGACAGCCTCGATGGTTGAAAAATTCGCCCGGAAAACGGATGAGGTCCTTCTTGGAAGGACCTAATCCAGTTAGCGACGTCCGCTGGTTATTTTCCTCGCTTATAAATCTACAAACTATTATTTAGAACAAATAATTGATTTACATATCTATCAAGGCATGTCTAAATATCCATCGCAACGGACAGAGATGATATTGAATGTAAATTATTTTTCGTGTTGAATATAATTGAAAAATATTATTGATAACGGAAAAAAAGAAAATACAATAAAGATGATGAATCGCGCGATGAGAGGAAATTTTTGCATCTTGCAAGTTTCCCAAGTTCCGACTCTAACAATAAGTTTGAAAATTTCTAGGTCCATAGGCGAGACAACCCGCGGATAACCACCGTGAGCGTGAGCACGACGGTCGACGCGCGGTCGTCGTTGTTCGTCGTGTCGTCATTGTCGTGGGGTTAAACGATATGGAGAAAATAGACGCAAAGGAAAGGAAAGGAAAGGAAAGGAAAGGAAAGGAAAAGAAAGGAAAGAAGAGGAGGGGAGGGAGGACGCGAACAATTCGTCGGTGCGAAGAAGAGTTTGGAAGGGCAAGGAGGATGATCAGGGAGGAGACAGGAGACAGGAGACGAATCCCTCGTTGACGGCGCCAGTGCAAAGTGCGAGCGAAGCGAGTTAACGGTGCGAGAGTGGGGAGGGGGGTTGCGGCGCGCGAATCGTGATCCGGTGTGATGCGCATCGCATTGGAGGGGACTCATCCGCCTAGACAGCAGCGAGCAGCCGTTGGTGCGCGCCCTCGGTAACTCGCTACGATCAGTCGCGTTCGGCCGCCTGCCGCGAAACGTCGAGTTATAAAACTGGGTGCAGCGCGTGAATTTGCTCCATAGTCTGAGATTCTGCGATCGGTTAACTACTAGCCTGAAAAGTGCCAGAGGATCGAGTGGGATTTGCAGACAGTGCACGGTGTGCGGTTATTGTGAGTATTTTATTCGCGTGCAACACGTTCGAATATACGAGATACTCGATAGACCGGTAATCGGAACTTGAGTCGTCGTTTTCGAACGATCGTTGATTCGGAGATTGAAAAGTGCGAGACTTTTTCGAGACGTCTATATGTTTCGTCTGTGACGGAAAAAGAAACAGTTTTACTTTTTCGTTCGCGATCGTCTTTCATCTCAGTTTTCGCGTCGGATAGAGACAATTGGTCGCGAGTGCTTATACATCGCGGATACATAGTAGCAGCGCGAGAGGTCAGAAAGAAGGGCATATACATACGGGTGCTCGTGTCTGTACACATATACTTGTATTCGTTCGAAGAATAAGTTTAGGCAACGACGTGACAAAAACACGCCGGCGGTCTAGAACTGATGTTCGAGGTAGTGCGCGATCTTTATTAGAACGCGTGTGTCTATCGCCGTCTTGAGTTTATCCAATTCGTCGTCGTTGACTGATTAGGACGAAAGTAAGTTTAGGCAACGAGGTGACAAATACGCCGGCAGTCTAGAACTGATCTTGATAGGAGGTGGCAGTGCGCAACCTCCTACTGGAACGCGTGTGTCTATCGGCTATCACCGTCTTGAGTTGGCCCAATTCGTCGTCTATCTCACTCACGCCTCGACTATCACCCCAGCCGTTCTACTATTCCTCGTGGTACAGCAATAATATCGTTTCCCGCGCGCAATGCGGATTGGCTGGTAGCTGTAACCGCGAGGAGCGAGAGGAGCACCGGTGCAAGCCAACGCGCACCGTTTTACTCGCGCTAGCGCCGTCAGGCAGAGAGAAGCAGAGAGGAGCAGAGGTGAACGGAAGAGC